ATNATTAGACGGCAAGCTTTTTAGTCGGTCGCCATATTTGGCCCGCAGGCTAGTTAGTCCGCTGTTCTGAATGCTGCCTTAGTTATTAATGTTAAATTCGACGAAGAAGTGTTTCGCAAAGGTTTTACGTATTATCTTTTCAGCTAAAACCTGACGTTAAGCACAAGTCACACGTATTTAAAATGATGAATTATCCACGGATGAGGAATAGAGGTTTCATAATATATTATAATTGGTATGTAAACTTATAAAAAGTAACACTTTGATATTTAATATTGTTAATTCGGTAGTCTTTATACATTATTTAAACTATAGTATGTCATTTCATTGACTGCAAAATTAGAACTTTCAAAATTATTAGTAGTTGAATTGTATTAAAATCAGTTTGCCACGTGTTCAAATGTGCATTTGTTACCGATTTAATCCTAGAGTAAAGCCTAGTTTTTCTACATGTAAATCTTACAGGTTCACCGTGAGTCTTGTATTCTATGGTCTATCCCTAAGCACTTCAGAACTTCCAGGAGACAACGATTTCTTGAATCTGTCTCTGTCTGGATTGGTAGAATTTCCTGGATTTCTTTTCTGCATTCTGTTGATGGACCGGTTAGGACGGCGTGCTTGCCTATGCATGAGCATGATCTTCTGCGGGGTGCCTTGTATAGTGGCTGCCGTTATACCCAAGGAAGCAGGTAAAGTACATCAGATATTACGTTATATGTGAATTACACTGAATTTTATAAAAATAATTTTTCCTTTAAATGATGGAAAATATGCATTATCTTTAACTTTAAAATGACGTGGTGTTTGCGTTTTATATAAAATACCTACAGCTGCACACATGCACACACGAGGCGTCTGTTTATCACCACATTACATTATTCATTCACCTATCTGTCGTCCTATCTATCTATCAATTACCATGATTCAATTCACTGTTTACCTGTATTTAAACTGATCTTAAATAACTTCTTATATATATATATATATATATATATATATATATATATATATATATATATATATATATATGGCCTGTTTGATAAATCTAATGAGCATTTTCACAAACTCGATGGACTTATTTTTATTATTTCTAGGTTTAGATTGGTTAGTCATTACGCTGTCCATGATTGGCAAAGCCTTCTCTGGCGCATCCTTCGTCCTTGTGTACAACTACTCCGCTGAGGCATTCCCGACTGTGATAAGGAATGGAGTGGTTGGAGTTAGTTCCATGTTTGCCCGTGTCGGAGGAATTCTTGCTCCTCTAGTTAATTTATTGGTATGTGTGTGTGAAAAGTTTTGTATAGATGTAAGTAAAACGTTTATAAGTTATTATTTAATCATCTTTAGACTACATGTGTTACTTCAATAACTACCGTGGCACAAAGATGATTCTGTATCATTCAGGGTTCGTACACCTCCAAGCAAGTCCCGCCAATCGTTTTTGGGGTCTGCGCCTTAGTTGCCGGCCTTTTGGCCTTGTTGCTTCCAGAAACACTTGGCGTGCCAATGCCGGAAACCCTAGCACAAGGTGAAGCTTTTGGCACACCCGAATATTACAGGTATTATAGCATCACATCTGTAAAAGAATATTTGGTTTGGTTTATTATTGTTTATCAAGATGGTTCTTAGAATTGGTGTAGACAACGATACCCTTATACTTTAGTAAGTTTTATTGAGCTTGGATTGTAAATGATGCTATTAAAAACTTCAAATAAATAAACACAAATTTGTCACAAGTCAAAAACATTCGTGTTGCAGATTTGAAAGGGAAGATCAACTCTTTTAAACATTTGTCACTTTTTTCAAGCGTTTCCGGCGAAAAAGGTAACGGCTCAGCAAAGCAGCTGGAGAATGACAAGTAAGTTGTTCTTAACAATTATGACGATTTAACTTGTACAAACCCCCTCAATGCTATAAGCACACATACACACGCTCGCATGCACGTACACTGTGTCCCTGTTACTTGGACGAGTTCATTTTCTGTATGCATTAAAAAACAACATTCATTATTCACTTTAAGTTATCAGTAGCTATATTATATTTTCCTTCCAATATAATATAATATAATATAATATAATATAATATAATATAATATATTTTCCTTCCAATATTGCGTCCACACCTACATCAAGGACGCATGAAACCATATCTGATGTGTCCTACATGTAGGTTAAACATGTTCCCGAACTGCATGATATATAACTATTACGATTGCCATAACCTTAGGGGGGAGGGAATACAAGCACTCCACGCACTGTCACCTTGTCTAATATCTCTGTAACGTTGCTATGCTAGGGACAAGATGGGGGAGACCAATGGATACGAAAGCGTAGCGCTGAAGGAAAGCGAAGGTCATGACTCCCCGTCCTCTGATGATGATCAAGCGCACGACAACGTATGATGGGTCTTTGAAACATGGCCGACATTTGTTGGATAGTCTAAGGTTTAATTTCAACATTTCTTTTCACTTGTATTTTAAGCAGTAGAGTTATATCTTTAAAATATATTAACACATCACTTTACATCCAGTGTGCAAATTTACTTTTAGCTCAACTAGTAAACAAAATTTATTTTTGTCATAAAGCATAATGGTGCCTTTTATATGTATACTAAGAGTATTTGCATTTGTTTCATACTAGTTGTAAACTAAATAGTTGCATTCTGCGGTTATTTAATTTTTAGTTCATATTGGACCAGAGTATATCTTTTATCTTTTCATTCAATAAATCAATAAATTAAAAAATAAATGTTTCTAGTTTGAATTCTTCTTATGAAGAGCATTTTTGAAGAAAGTTGAATAACTTTCAGTAAAAGCTACACATTTTCCATATAAGTAATATGATATATACATACTCTCATGATGGGACCATTTTTGGCAAAAAGTATCCTGAACTTGAAACTCTTGCAAAAGATCTTGCCAAAAGGCGGTTTCATATGTAGGCCTAAGCAGATAGTGTTCAAGCAGTCCGCACTGGACCGTGAGGGTCAGGGAAGAGAATTCTGACCAATGCGTCTTTATGCACAGGTTAATCGGATGTTAAGGGGATTTAGTCCAGGAAATTGGTGAAAAATTGTGCATTTTTTACCTACAAGCATGAAATTTGGCACACTTATGGACAATAAAATTCTAAGCAAATTTGGATATATGGGCATGTCTGAAAATTCCAAAATGGCCGTCAAATCCAATATGGCCACCAAAATACCTTTTCAAATTAAAACTTCAAGTACATAGTCTTCTAATGACTTAAAATATCATATAAAGGTTAGAAAACACCATGGTATGAATCCTTCAGGTGTATTAAATCCAAAATGGCCGCCAAAAGTAAAAAAAGCAGACCATTTATTCAAGATATCCATTTGAATGGGGAATTCATCAAGCACTTAAAACTACAAGCATACAATTTGGCAGGTTTGTGGAAAATGAAATTCTGAGCAAGTTTGGATGTATGGGCATATCCTAAAATTTAAAAATGGCCTTCAAATCCAAGATGGCCTCCAAAAATACGGCTTCTAATTAAAACTTCAAGTATATAGTCTTTTAAGGGCGTAAATATCATACAAAGGTTAAAAAACACCACGGTATGAATTCAGAATCAATATTTGCTTTTTTAGGTGTATTAAATCCAAAATGGCCGCCAATAGTAAAAAGCACTCTACTAATCCAAGATATCCAGCAGATTGGTTAATTCATCAAAAACTACAAGCATGGCATTTGGTACAGTTGTAAAACAGGATTCCAAGCACTTTTGGATGTATGAGCATCTCTAAAAATTTCAATATATGGCCCCCAAATCCAATATAGCCGACACAAATACCCGTTCAAATTAAAACTTCAAGTATATATAATCTTAAGATAACATTTTATGGTTAGACAAGACTATGGTATGCATGAAGTATCAATATTTGATTCTGTAAGTGTATAGAAATCCAAAATGGCCTCCAAGATAAGAAAAACAGGCCACTCACAGCAGCGGTATGGTGAATTCATCATGCACTTAAAACTACAAGCATGAAAATTGGCTCAATTGTACAGAACAGGATTCTAAGCAATTTGTTATATAGGGACATGTCTGAATATTCTGATATGGCCACTAAAACCCTTTTAAAGTAAAAAAA